CTCTATCAGGTATAAATCTACTGTTGCTTATATTTTATATTATGAAAAATATTAAAAGTCTCATTCTTTTATAAATAAAAAAAAACTAAATTCCTGTTTTGTATCAGCAGGTAGGTCTGAATTGAATCCATTCATTTAGGTCATCTTGTATTCATCATTTAACCCACACTGGAAGAAAAACTGTTTTCTTTTTCAGATAAATGCAAGGATTAAATGATTAAATGTGAGGAAGGTTGGCTACTTCCTAAGCTAAATTAACCATGTAAAAACTCAGTGGATTACTGGAAAATTGCATTAACACAAAGCTGAAAGCAAGAGAGTTTTCTTAGCGCATGAAGAGCTGACATTTGGGAATCATTTGCTTTGGTTATGATGCCGACAACCAGCATTAAATTATTTGAATTATCTTTGAGACCTCACCATAAATACAGTTAAATTTGAAGGGGAAAAGGCCACATGTAAATTATTAACATTCTTGTTTGTTTATTACTTGTGTTCTGGGTTTAATCTTGAGAAACCAGCTGATGAATGCAATAATGTTTCAAATCATGACTGCGATCACTGCCTTTAATGGGTTTTGAAAACATACTCTGTAGCATGGAACATATGCTCTCGGACATATTTTCGTGAGATGATGAGCCCTGGTTGCTCCTGCAGAAATCTTCAGCTGTTATAATTTAGTCACAGATAATTAACTGTGAGGACATTGACCTGCGTCCTGGGACATGAGTCTTATCTCACTGAGCGTCCTGAGCCTGTTCACAGTGTCTCAGCTGTGTCATGCAGAGAGATACTGGCCTCCTGTTTCCGTTGCCTCCTGTGCCTCCAGAGCAGGACAGCCAGCAGAAGGAGAAGTAGGAAGCCCAGAGCTCCCCCGATGAGCCCTGCTTTCAGAGGCAGGCTGTCGTTGCCTGAAGCCTCTGAAGCCCTGCTTTCAGAGGCAGGCTGTCGTCTCTGGGATGATACATCATGCAGGACCCATCACTAGTTCCACTATCATTCTCTGCAACTACACAAACCTCTGTGATATTGCCTATGTGGCCCACTGCGCCGCTCCTTTGCCTCGTCCCAAACCTCTGCCACTCTTGCCCACCTACTGTCAAAATATATGCTGTGACATATGAGAAAGGAGCACACCACTGAATTACGGGCCATTATTTTAAGGTGGGGAGCTTTGGGAGCCATATTATATAAAGGGAACCCTTCACACCTGCAGCCAGTGGATTTTCCTAGGTCATGACAGGAAACCTGACCCTCCAGACAGGGGTTGTAGTAGAACCCTTGACACAAGCAGCCAGTGGAGTTTGCTAGCTTAGCACAGGGGACCTGACCCTCCAGACAGGGGTTGTAGTCACATCGCGGAGAGATTCCTCTACGGGGAGGCAGACTGCTGGGTGCAATAGTGGTGATTATTTCATCTAATTGTTCGTAATCTTGTGTGGAAAGCACAAGGGACTCAGTCAAAAACCCATGTGCCTGCTATGTCATCTAATTGATCGTAATCTTCTGTGGAAAGCACAAGGGACTCAGTCAAAAACCCATGTGGCTGCTGAGGGCTCATAAATTCTGGCCTGGGAATTCGTGAGGGCGGA